AAATAACCATTTCAAACTATTTACATAACAATCAGCTGTTCTGCATTAAATAAGATGCCACACAAATTATTTGTGCCACTCCAAAAAAATCATTTTCTCTGTCCACTAAAAAGGAGAACATCACAGCCTGATACTTGCAGGCCTGACAGCAGCAGGTGTATCACGCCTCCTGTTTTCATTCAGCAGTTGCGTCATTGTTGTGACACACAACGCAAAACTATCCACAACACTACACACTAACTACAAAAGACAACACATTAACTACACACTACAAACACGCTAAACGTCACAAATCTCTTTTTCTGCTTTCTTTCTCTCTCTCTCTCTCTCACTCCTAAAACTTCCACCTCTTCCTAAACAACCAAATGTCATGTTGCCATATCATCTTTTGATCAAGGTGTTGTGCCAAAAAGTGATTACCGTCTGTAGCGCCCAGATTACTTACGTAGACAGCTACTTAAGATGCGGTAAGCTGAACACAGCTTCAACTGTCTGTTTGTTGGAAAATAGTAACGCGACCGCACCGCATTTTCTTGTTAGTAACGGTAACAGCGTTGTAACAATAGAAATAGTAATTAGTTAGATTACTCGTCACTGAAAAAATTAATGCCGTTAGTAACGCCGTTACTTGTAACGCCATTATTCCCATCACTGTCAATCACTGAGAAGCAAGGCTGCTTTATGAAGCCATCGACATGCTTTTCGCTGTCGTCTGACTGAGAGACAAGGCCATACTGGACTTTTATCAGTTGGCGACTTGTCAGTAAAAAACACAGGCTTACTCTAAACTCATACCCTGCTTTTTTTGTGCTTATGGGGACAGTTATTTAAAAAAAACAAAATCGTGCTCTATTCAGCAAAATCCAAAACTAGTGATTAAGACCATAAACTCATCAACTAATTGGTGACTTGGGTCATATTGCAAGGGAGCAAAAAGCAAATTTTGAGTGCAATTATCCACACAAGAAAGTACATTTTGAAAATGGCACAAAACAAACATCATCCTGACTAATCTTCGGCCTTTTGTTGTTTAAGTAAAATGACTCTGTTTCTTTCAGATCCTGAGACCAACGGAAAGCCATTCTCAGAAAATATACTCAAGAACAGATAATTCATTACAGAAACTCTTCTTGACACAATGGAGAGCTCTGCAGCTACAACAGGCACAAATGTGAACTTGCAAAATGAAAAGCTGCAAAACAGTGAAAGAGGAAACACCAGATGATAAAACTCCTTTCACTTTTGTAGCAACCCAAAAATGGATCGCGGCTGATGCAGACACGAGATATTAAATGGCTGTCGGTCAAGCTCTTCTTGACGAGAACTGCTTAACCCGTATGTTCCAGTTACTCCACATCGGTGGCATCCAATCCCAGGAGTGAATCATTACACATGAATGTCAGCTTCAGGTTTGTATCATCGGTCAGAGATGGCAGAAGTGCAGACTGCCACACACGAATAGCTGGTCAAGGAACCAGTCGGCACACAACAAAACAAGCTAAAGACTTTCTCTTTTTCTATGTCTGTCCATCTGCATCACCTCCTTTCTGTCTTTATAACAGCCCTCTGTGTAGCAGCTCATCTCTCTCCCTTTCTCTCTGTGTCGATGTCTCAATGATAAGCACATTGCTGTTTGGTGCTTCTCCTGTGATTGTTTTAGCCCTTACAATCCCAGTCCTGATTATGGAATGATTATATTGTTGGGTCGGAAGTATTAAAAAACTCAGTTATTTGTTTTTAAGGTTAGATTTAGGAGTTTTCCTTCTCGCTTAAAGGGACTCTTAAGTCCAGCTTGTTAATTCGGGGATAAAAGATCAGGACAACGTGAAAAACCATGCATGTGCACAGTTGCAGCCAATTTGTTACCAGTTAGCCAGCTATAATTGTCTGTGCATCGGGGAGGAAAAAGACTGGCGTAGCTGGAAATAACAGATTTCTGTTCGTATTGAGGGTTACTGCTCATTAATGCATATGCAGCACCATATGTCATCTGCAATCTGCAGCGGGATGTGAAGGGAATATGGATGAAGATATGTAGGGCATGTTCCTAATGAAATGTATACAAAGGGTAAAATGTTTGCCCGAGTTTCTTGAAGACCAATAAGGGAAGCTGAGAAGTAGAAACCTTGAGATGTTGTCCAGTCACAGTCAGACCTGTTTTTATGCCCACCGGTAGCTATGAGTTGGAGTGGGTTCAGCACAGCTAAACAAGCATATTGTCCAGGAATTGTCCAGGAAACAATTTGTTGATTGTGAAGACTTTGAGAGAACAATTTCATGAAAAGAAAACTTCAGTATTGGCTTGTGTTTAAGTTAGGGTGAGGGTTTTGGTTGGGGTCATCAGCAATGACAACTCAGCCCACACAGGGTTTACAAATAGAGTGGCTGAACCTTTTGACTCCACATGTACAAAACTGGCTTGTTGATTGGTTAGGTGTTTGTGTGCAATTTAGGTTTTCGTATGACTTTAATATGCTAATCTTTAGACTGCTCGCCTGCTTTCCTGTAGTCTGGGCAATGGTTATGCCTACCCCTGAAGTAGCCCACCTATTATTCCCACACTCCACCTCTCCAGTCCAGGACTATAAAAAACAGTCCTGCCACTTTTGTCACAGTAAGTAACAAACTAAGTGATATGAGGCTTTGTCCTGTAGATTTAATCACCCAAACTTTGATTGACTGACGATGACTGAAAACCTGGATAGTGATATAATCTATGTGCTACTAAGTGTATTTTTCAGTTGTTACAATAACTAAAAATACAACTTAAACATGTGTCATTATCTTTAATACTCTTGACAGTTGAACAGTTCAAATTCATATTCATGTCTAATGTAACAACCAAACTAATCCGTTTTATGTGGCCCAACCACGGAAGGATTAAGTTTTTGTATTGATCCGATACCAATTAATACATAACAGGCATTACCAATACTAATACTGCTACTCTTGACCTATGAAGGCAGCTTATGTAGGGCAGAGCAGTGTGTCAGGATTTATGAGATGAATCGTTAATTTGCAAATTTTAAACACTAAATCATCATAATTTTTACTTTCCGTAATAATTAGTTAACACAACGAAACACAACCTTCAGCTTTTCATGTATTTTCAAAATGAATTTTTTTGAGATCTGGAGTGTAAATGTGCCTGTCTCTAAAGCACCGTGGGTCAACTTCTGCTGTTAAAATGGGCTATAGGATATGAATAAAATAGACATGACAGTCAACACAAAAAAGGGAAGACACTTTTCATAGTGTGTGTTTAAAGTATTTTTTTTTATTTCCCAAAAAAGTTATTTAACACACTTCAGTGGGCTCCATATTGAACTTAGAAGACGGAATCAAAGTATTGATTGTATTACACTAGTATCGATCCTAACAATAGGTGGGTGGATCCAACCGCCTCGACTCAAGATTCCAGCAGGGCATTTTATGCAGGAAGGAGTTAATTAACATGAAAAAAAAAATCATTAAAAAAAGACCAAAATCAACAATCAATTAGTCCTGCTACAAAGTATGTCTAACCATAGCATTTTATAATTAGCTTTGGGGAGGGTGTGGCTCAGGAGGTAGAGCGGGTCATCTACCAATCAGAAGGTTGGTGGTTTATTCCCGTGTCTGTGTGTTGAAGTAACATTGGGCAAGATACTGAGCTCCAAGTTGCCCCAGATGCATCCATCGTGTGCGTGAATGTTAGATGAAGGCACTTGTCTAACAAGATCTAGAAAAAAGAGTCACTGGATGAATGAGGCTTGCAGTAAAAACCGATCTCAGAGTTAAAAGAGCGCTATTTAATAGCAGTCCCCAACCTTTTTTGCGTAGGGTATGAATAACCCTATTCATAACACACGGGAAAAGACCCAGGGAATCCGAATTAATGATAAAAATGATAGAAAATAACGATAAAAACTGATAAAAACCCTGAAAACAATCAATTTCACACCTGAGCCTCAACTCTCGTGGCCCGTTATGAAACGCCTCACAGACCATTACCGGTCCGTGGCCCAGGGGTTGGGGACCACTGCTATATAAGTACCAGTCCATTTACCACCAGTGTGTACTTAACAGCAGCTGAAAGTAGTCCCCAACATATATAATCTGCTAATTCCTGATTAAGCAACATTTGTGGGTAAAAAAAATCATAATTGCCCAGATGTTCCATGTTTAAAAAAAGAAAGTAGATGTGTTTATGGCAGTTCTAAAGGTTTATGTCTTCAGTCGGAGCAGATGGATGAAAAGTGAGCGCTGCGGGCAGATTAGCGAACAGATTGTTGGTTTTAGTCTTTTCTCGGGATTTGCAGACAAAAACATATATATGTAAAATAAGGAGAAGCTAATTCTCAAAAGCAAAAACAAATGGAGATTATATTTGAAGTCAAGGGAAATCATAATTTGCTACCTAAGCTTTTAAGCAGATGTGGATACAATATTAATAAATGAGAAATCCAATGTACATTTTTATAGTGTTACTACTCTAAGGGATACAGAAGAAGGACCGAAACACATCATCTGGCTAAAGATAAAGGCTTCTTTTTATTTTAAAGTTTCCTGTTGAATTATATTGTATTATCTGCACAAATATATTGGACAGCAGCCCCTTTACACAAATGCTCTCTAGTTGAGTTCCCTCAAAAAGTCAGACAGAAAAATGCTGCGAAACTGAACTCAGCAGAGTTGCATCCTTATTAGAGATAATGAGTGAATGTCTGAATGCCTCGCTGGTTGAGATGGCTGCTAAAAAGGAGCACGTATACGCACATATACGATTTAAATACTGCCGCGTGCTGAGAGAGAGCAGGGCTTTGCGTTCTCATCAAAATCAATTCTGCCAAGGCCTCGCCCTGCCATCCATTTTTCACCCTCTCCCTACTTTATCAGCCTTTCTTTTTTCTTCCTCTGTCCCCAGCCACCTTTATCCACCTGCATTCTCCCCCATTTATGACTCCACCCTCACTTTCAATCCCTCTGTCACAATACTCTTTTCTTCATATATCACATCACCCTTCCTTGTTTCTACCCTTCACTAGTCTCGTCCTCTCTCTTCTTTCCTCTCCCCTGATTCTCATTATATCCACTTTCAGGCTCCCGTTAGCTGCCTTCTCCCTCTCGGCATCAGCTCTGCTCTCTCTCATTCATTCGGCCCCGGCCCACTGCCTATCTCTCGCTTGCTCTTCTGCCCATTTATCACCTTTTTGTCTCAGACTGGCTGAGATGGACACTTTACCTGGTAAACAAGTGAAAAAAAATAGACTAAAGGGAGGAGGAAAATGAGAGAATCAGTGAAGGAGAACTCTTGAGGAAAGGGAAAAATAAGATAAGTAGAGGAATTTTTCACTGATAAGCACATTTAAGTATAGCCTAAGCAGCACTTTTTACACAGTTTGGGGCTTTTCTAAAACAAACAAACAAAAAAATCTGAATGCAAAAGCGTAAAAACTTGCATTTACACTAATAACTGTTAGCATGTCTGGTTAACTAGCTAACTAGACAGTCCTATTCTAAACCAGCATTGTGTTTATGCAGCATTTCTGACATTGTGGATGCTAGCATTTCATAGTTGCTAATTAGCTAGCCTGCACTCTGTATTGGATTTGGGTAAACCGCACCAGCCACTAAATGTACCAAGCACATTGGTTAGTCTTTATCCTTAAAGCCCTTTGTCTTTTGATGTGAGAATGGTTTGAATGTAATAGTAAGGCCTTTAATATTTCTTTATTAATACTATACTTGTACTATATTTACCAGACCAGTCCTCTGAAAACCACAAGTCTTTAAGCTATAGGAGAGAGAAATAACATCATAGAAGAGACATAAAATTAGTCAAAAAAATATCCTAAATACATTTAGAATATATTTAGAACAACAAATTAAATTTCTTTTAGCAATTATTGTTTTTTTAATGTCCCAATTCCAACCCTCCTCCTTTATCCAGGCTTGGGACCAGTCAAAAGTGACTCTGGCAGAGTTACTTCTTTTGTGTGTGTGTGTGTGTGTTTTTAAGTAGTTTTAAACCTTGTGATCCACAAAAAGTAACAGTTAAAGAAGAACTGACTGCGTTACAGTCATGGCGAGAGCAGCGGCTTCGCTCATGTGCGATTCATTTGCAGTTTGGACGTGTAGGGGTGAACATGTCCTTCTCTGACAGCAGATGGGGGTGACTCCTGTATGAGGACTACCTGCTGCCAAAGGCACGGTGCCCACGGCAGCACCCGCTGCTTGTTGAGAGTAAGAGCAATACGTGCTTTCACGGCAAAAAATTGTCATAAGTCTTCCTAATAACACCAGCAAAAGTCGCCAGATTTGTTGCTAGTTGCTTTTTAGAAAAAAAGTTGCTAATGGGGTCTGAAAACTTGCTAAATATAGCGACAAAGTCACTAAGTTGGTAATACTATAGCCTTCAAGACAAGGTTTTAATTGGAGCTAACTTTAGCTTCATTAGCTTGATAGCTATAGCACATGTTGTATGCTAGCATTTGCTGTTTTTCAGGAGCCAAACTCAGCAGCCACTGGTTAGAATCCAGTGAACTGGTCACTCTTGAATGAGAAATTGTTTTCATCTAAATGGTTCAAAAGAATTAACAATAATATCAAATGGTTGTACAGGGAAGACAAGTGTAGCTCAACAGAGGAAAGGTTTATTGAATGGACATTGGAAAGGTGTTCCAAATGAAAGAAGGAAAAATCCACAAAAGTAATTTAACAGCAGCTATAAAATCTTGTCTTTGCTGATCTTTGGTGTTTAATTTATATGCCTGTGATACTGAGGCATATAGGCTTTACACTTTTGATCACAGAAAGCATTGAAACATTGGTTACTCTTTAATGTGGGATGAAGATTAAAAAAATCAACAAATTCGTTCACATATCAGTTTCTTAAACCATATTGATGTAAAACAAGCGTGTCTACAGAGCAGAGAGATTTAAGAAATTACTTCGAATTAATAATAATTTAGTAGAGTATAGGGACAAACTGTCTGACATTAAAGAAACGAAATTAAGTGGCACAAAGGCAAACATTCAAAGAGAAGACTGGTGATTTTGGGGAGCATATGATACTTGAGGCGATGACAGAAGTAGGGCACCATGACCAGCACTGTAGAGCACAGCAGAATTAAAGAACAAGCATGTCAAACAAAATAGACTCCAGGGAAGTGAATGTCAGGCTTTTTCAAAGAGCAGTGTAGCTGGTCTTTTAGAAACTTGTGTTAGACTTGCTGTTGTTGCTCCGTCTGCACATGTGGACAAAGAGGAAAGCAGAGAAAGGTTTCAGTCAGCAAATCTGGAAGTATTTTTAAAAAGCCTTCTTGTTTCCCATTTGACATCCTTTTTAAAAGGTCTGCTAAAACTGCGAAAAAGAGGACAGGAAGGATATTCCTGTTGTGCTGGTGTTAATCCTGACCATGCTTGTAGACCTCTCTATTATTCTAATATTTTCTCTAAGACATTCTGTGGAAAGATTGATTCTGCTGAAGTAAAACATTGTTTGTCCGTGTACATGCCGTCATGTGAACGGAGGAATCTGCGCTTTGTGTTAACATCTTTCGCAGAAGTTATTTACCTGCTCTTTAATTGTTTCTTGTTTAAACTGATTGGTGGTAATCAAAATGATTTTGTGAGCGTTTAGCTGAGATTCTGATGCCATACATGTCTATATTTAAATGACAGACCTAGTGGCACAGCCTGTGAAACCAGATGTTCTCCCTCTGACCCTGGTATCAGGGGCACTAGGGTTCAACAGGTTAAGCTAAACTAATGATTGGTTTTAGAACTGAAGAAGTCCAGTCACCATGTTTTCAAGATCCCAAGACAGTGTTGGTCCATATTCCAGTCAGCACACTGCTTTCTATGTTGAACAAACCAGGCCAACGCAGGCAAATCCTCTCTAAAGACATCAATAATTAAGTTGGTGCCCACTGATGTGCTTTTCCTTTGATTCACCCTCTCCTAAGCAAGGCAGTATGTGCACCGAGATAAGATCAGGCTTTGTAAAAACCAGCTGGTGCAGACAACCCCAGATCACTGCACATATCCCCAATTTTACTCGAAAACTAGTGCTACAGCTCTGGTAGAAGTAATTAAGTACCAGTGAGGTTTGTAGGCGAGCTTAAACATGAGAGCATCATCTTGTCTACAGACTAGACCCGAAGGAACATAGAGTATAAAATGTGGACATACTGTAATGTCACGCATTGATTTGCAAAGTCCCATCCTGATTTCTTCTACTGAGCATTTTCATTGCAGTCTTGGTTTTTTGAAACCAGCTATGGTGAGAAAGAAGCAGGTCTGACTGTGAAACTGCATGCTCATTGGCCAGCATATTGTTGACAAGTTATTAGCCAATGAACATACTCTGAAACAAGATTTATAAAAATGACCTTGTTTTTGTTCATTATGGCCCAAAATGAGTAACCACAAGCACAGCAGAAAACATGTCCAGAGGTCAAGCTCGATGGGACCAAGAGTCTTTTTTGGTGTCGCCCCCTGATGGCCATTAAACAAAGCAGATATTTAAGGCATGTCGTATTGGCTTTACTTTTCAGACCTGGGAAGCTACGCCCATCTTTTATACTGTTTGACAAAATAGCAAAACGGACAAAAACTATTATAACGCAAATTAAACAAATCTAAATCTGCTCTTCTTTTTAACATCGCTTTTTTATATAACTTGTAATACGTTCCTCTTTGTGGTCATTGAGAAAAAAACTGAAACTTTTAACAATACTTGATTCTAACATTAGATTAATTTGACATAATGACATTTTTTCTTCCATTTACGAGCAGTTATTACTGCAAATGAAACCATAAATTAATTGACAGCATAAATACAGGAAACTTTCTTTTCTTTTTTTTTTTTGCTTAAATTGTGGCCATGATATCAAAAAAAAGGATTTCATCGTATTTTTGATTTTGAATGCACAGATCCAAATTGATATTAGACTCATGAAGAAATAAAGAATTAAGCTATTTGAAAGTACTGAGTGTTTGATATTCATGTCACGTACGTGACGTGGGAACTTTCCCCTAATCAGGGTGCACGGGGGTAAACACTAAACGTAATCTGAGGGTGATAAAAGTACAAATATACTTAGTGACTGTGCAGCTACTGAAGCTGAAGTGGTCATTTTCATAGCGGTCGAATCCAAGCACACATAGACGCACACTCACTCATCCACCACGTCTATTCTCCAACTGGCTGCAGTCCAAACTGACACATGGAGAGAGAAGCAGCAGAAGGTAGGCCTGTCCCAAACAGCTCAGTCTCTGTCTATCTGAGGCTGCAGGAAGCCACTGAACAGCTGCTCAAGGTGAACGTCCAATGAGGCATGTGCAAATATGAAGCTCAAGACTGGGAGAGAGACCTAAAGACAGAGACCGAGTGAGGCACACGCACAGAGGGGAGGATGAGTCAGAGAATCAGAGGGAATAGGCTCATGAGTGACAGACGCAGAGGGGCAGGAAAGATCATTATACCCGATGGGGTTCGCTGAATCGAACCTCCGATTTCAGTCACGGTGACATGTTTGAATCTTAACAGGGGTGTCTTTTGTTTGCGGCGTGACAAGAGTCTCAATTTGGATTTGAATGTGTCATCATGGACAGAAACTGCGCTAGCGAAATTGTAAAAAAAACCAAACAAACATTTGCACCACAGGAAATCTGACAACTTATCACATTGGCCAAACAGCATCCGATCCACTCACCAGTTCTTACTCCACTTTGTGTCCATAGGTGTCCTGAAAGCAGCTATACTTGCAGCAGAGGACTTTTAAGTGCTCATTCACACTCGCAGCCTCTCTCCTTTGTACGTCATAAACCGAGATATAACTATGTAATTTAAGTCATTGTGACATGATGAATATCCGTGAGCTTCTCAGTAACCCCGGCCTTAAATCCAACTCCTGTTCATCTTCAAACTGAAGCCTATGGCTAAAAAAGAGCCAATTCCCACTTGTTTGCCTGTACTGTAGACTGGATGACTGAATACTGAGAACCTTGAATAAGGCCCTATATAGTGTAGAGAAGAATAGGGCCGTTTACTTATGGCATATATTGTTCATTATGTCAAAGCAAATAACCAAGAAGCATGGATTTACAGCAGAATAATGTGAGTCTGT